GTCATATACAGCCAGTTTTGTACATGCTGTGATGGTTAACTCTAGGACTCTGTGTCACTTACTACTGACCCCTGCGTTACTTAATACTGTCCCCTGAGCTCTGCGTCGCTTACTACTGACCCCTGAACTCTGTGTCTCTTACTACTGATCCCTGAACTATGCGTTACTTAATACTGTCCCCTGAACTATGCGTTACTTAATACTGTCCCCTGAGCTCTGCGTCGCTTACTACTGACCCCTGAACTCTGTGTCTCTTACTACTGATCCCTGAACTCTGCATCACTTAATATTGACCCCTGAACAATGCGTTACTTACTACTGACCCCTGAAACCTGTTACTTACTATTGTCCCCTGAACTCTGTGTCACTTACTACTATCCCCTGAACTCTCTCTTTTTACTGACCCCTGAAACCTAGGTTACTTACTATTGTCCCCTGAACCCTGCGTTACTTACTATTGGCCCCTGAACTCTGTGTCGCTTACTACTGACCCCTGAACCCTGCGTTACCACTGAACCCTGCCTTACTTACTACTGAGCTCTGATTTCTGCCTTAGTGCTACTGTCCCCTACTCATGACCCCTGTACTCCATGTGTTGGCTTCTGATGACCCCTGTACCCCATGCATTTCTTGCTCCTGACCTCTTTATTCCATGTGTTCTATATTTCTGTTCCCTTCACTCTGTATGTAACATACTCCTGATTTCTGCTCTATGCTCTATGCACTCTTAACCCCTCTATTCTGTGTTACATACTCCTGACCCCTGCACTTCATATGTTGTGCACTCTTGACCTCTCAAGTCTGTGTGTTACACACTCCTGATCCCTGTACTCTGTGCATTACACATGCTTGTCCCATAGTAGTGTAGGCTCAGGGTTTATTTAATGATGCAGCTTCAGACCCCCCCCCCCCCCTTTACCACAATTTGACCACATGCATGATACGCTGCGGCGTTATGCGTGCCGCAATATTGCACTCCTTTCAGTGCCCATGGCACAGTCGTTACATCTTCAGTGTCTGCTTCCTACTCCAGAAGTCTGTGAACCATTTTTTGGGGGCATGCTAAAAATAGTGTGATTTTGTGGGTGTAGCTACAAATGGGGTGTGGTTTTATGGGTGCGGTCAGTAAGGTGTCCCCGGATTTCATTTGAGAAATCTGGTAATCTTACTCTAGACCAGGGGTAGGCAACCTACGTAGGCACTCCAGCTGTGGTGAAGCTGCAAACCCCATGAGTCATTGCAAGACTCTGACAGCCGCAGGCATGGCTCCTAGAGGCAGAGCCATGACGGCATTTGTAGATTCACCGCAGCTGGAGGTGCCTACCCCTGCCCCAGGGCTATACAAGTGCGGCAGTTCCCTGAGAATGTAAATATATTGATTCCTGTCTGTGCCAATCAGGAGACAAGTTGAAACAAACAAAACAACAAAGCTAATTTAACAACATACAAAGCTTTCTTTTTTTTTTTAGTTTTCACTCACAGCAAAACAGACGTTTAGCTGAAACATTCAGAACAAATGTGTGTTTTTTTTATTTGTTTTTAGCATGTTTTGTAAAAAAGAAAAAGTGCAAAAGTAAAACCATCACAGGGCATTGTGAAGCAAGCGCTAAACCATTTTTATTTCAGAAGTATTTTTTTTTTTTTAAATACTTAAAAGGCTTAGTTCACCGCTTCACTGAAATTATATTGAGGGGCTCCATGAGTCTACAGATCACAGTGCATTTTAGGCAATTTGAGCTTACTTTAAACTCCATACCTGCAAGCTGAGTGCTAATTCTGCAAAGCCTGGCCGGAAAAGGAGCATCCTGAGCGCTCCTGTGCTGCCACAGCCAATGTTATTTTCTGCTATTTCCATTACACTGCTATGTATTGCATTGCATATTATTATGTTGTGGTGTATGCCTGACATCTAGTGGTAGATGAATGCTATTACAACTGGTAACATCAATATTTCCTACTATTATCCCCTCTGTGCCAGTTGCTATAGTCTTAGATAGACCCTCCCTGCTTCTTCCATGCTCCTTCATTCTTATTGGTAGCCTTCATTGCAGACACAAGGCTTGGAGGATCGTTGTCGTTTTACACTTCAAATGACCAGCAAACATTGTCTGCAAATCTGTAAAAAATAAGTCAAGGCAACTGGACTTGCTGTATTTTTCTTGAGGACATTTCACTGGTCAGCCGACTAGCTTTTTCAATTCAGAATGACTTGGACAAAAATTATCTGTGAATAAATATGATGAATGTTACTCCAATCAACATAATCTGTTTATCATAACCAGCAAGGGCTCAAATACCTCATGACGGTAAGGTGTTGGTTCCATTTGCATGATTGGAGCTAGCAGGTGTTATTAAGCTGATCAGAGAGAGGTGTTAAAACAGCATTGTATGTGGCAGGAATAGGAGTAGAACTCCTATTCCTTGCTGTCTGTGTCCCCGTTTGGGAGATTCACCCTCACTATTTGTCCTGGCGATCGTAATCAAGTGAAAGAAAATCCCAAATTTCGTGTTGTCACCAGAACAGGAAAATCTTCCAATGGGGACATTAGTTCTGGTGACCCTTCTGACCACCAGGGAAAAGCAGGAATCACCAGCACTCGGTTAATGATGCTCAAATAATAAACGTCCATTTATTTGGACAAGTTGTCACAGACGAAAATACCAAAGTTTCGGGACTGCACAGGGTCCCTTCATCAGGGTGATAATGTGACCCTGCCGACCATCAGGTATTTCCCTCTCTTTGAAGGGATTTCCTCTCACTTCCTGTTGTGGCTGTCAGGCAGGAAGTGAAGGGAAATCTCCCCAGTGGGACACAGATGGAAAAAAAAAAAAAGGTTATAACCCTTGCTTACTCTATCCGAAACGGGAAAAAACATTTTGGCTTCAACTTTGAATATTTGCCTGGAATTCATCTTTTAAGTCATTTTACTCCTGTGAAGCTGGATCACAATGTTGCAGGACGTGCTGGATCCACGTGGAAATGACGTCTGCCTTGACATTCATGCTGCCATTATGATGAAGACATTACACCAAGGCGTTGACACAATAAATACCAATGACTTCCGTGAATATTTATGCCATCTCAATTGACCCGCCGGTGGCATTGGTTTTCCTTCAGACATCAGGACCTGTATCTGCCCCCTTCCTATGTGTTTGTGTCTGATTTGTAGGCTGATGGGACTTTTGGGGAGTGTGGTGTGGGAAGTAGGGTTGCCACCTTTTCTTTCAGCGAAACCCGAACACTCTAGCGACGCATAGGGGAGAATGAGTTGCGGCTTATTCATATCTAAATAGCGCCACCCATTCATATGTAAATATCACCGTCAAGACTATTTTCAGTGGGGGGGCAGTAGCCCCTATATTAATTTTGGTTGCCCCTATCTGCCTGACATCATGTGTCTGGGTCTCAGCTGCCATGAAACCCGGACACAGCATTCAAAACCCGGACTGTCCGGGTGAATCCTGTACAGGTGGCAACCCTAGTGGGAAGGCTTGTGCTGTGTCTCTCTGGATGGATGGCATGCTGATTGTGAAGCGATATGACCCGTCTGGCGGCGTGGACATCTCTCATGGAAGCAAACGGTGCCACATGGCTATCTGTCTCCTGTGGTTGTTCACCATCTCTTGCCAATGACTTTTTCCTGTAGCAGTCTGATCTGACCCCAGACAGCAGGTACCCAGGGAGTAACTCGGACCCCCACCAGGTTCCTGGCAGAGCATATCCAGCTCTACCCTGACCTCTGTCAGCAGCTCCGATGGCACCTCAAACATGATCATCTCGTTCCAGACGGGATTAATTTTGTGCTTTGCCCTTTTGCTTTGTTTCTTCTTGAGCCTTTGAGACTTATGCCAGAGGCTGACCTTCACGTAGAGATCTACAGGGAGACACAAGTATTGATCTGTGCATTATGCACACATGGTACTCTGCAGATTGAAGTTCTAGCTTTAGTCCTCATTCACACACAACACAAGAGCAAAATTGTATATCGCGTATATACGTGCATTATTTGCAATCCCACAATGCATCATTCGTAATAGAAATGTTAATGAACTGTACGTGCGTATATGCGCGCATACATGCGTGTATGCGCGTAAATACGCTGCCCGGACGCATCTCGGTTCCATTCTGTTTTTGCAGCTATGTGTATTGAGCCATTTATTTGCATATGCTGCATGTGGTACTATATGCGCGGCAGTGTGAATGAGGCCTGTGGCCAGATTATAGACATCAAAGTATTGATATATTCTTAATGAACAGTAAATTACATTTATAACAAGCCCTCACTGATCTCTGTAGCTGCAAGCACTGTGGAGCAATTCATTTTCAATGTACAATCACTGAAGCAACTCATCTCACTGTGCTGCCCCATTGACTCTGCCGCTATGTAGCAGGGTGAGCTGAGCTGCTGAGTCACTGCTAAGAGGGTGAAACAGGGTGAGCTTAGCTGCTACATCACCATTAGGAGGGGTGAGCAGGGGGAGCTGACCTGCTGAGTCACTACCAGGAGGGGAACAGGGGGAGCTAAGCAGCTGAGTCACCACTAGGGGGAGCTGAGCTGCTTTGTTACCACTAGGGGGAGCAGGGGGAGCTGAGCTGCGGAATCACCACTAGGAAGGAGGAGCAGAGGGAGCTGAGCTGCTGAGTCACACCCTTCCTATGTGTTTGTGTCTGATTTGTAGGCTGATGGGACTTTTGGGGAGTGTGGTGTGGGAAGTAGGGTTGCCACCTTTTCTTTCAGCGAAACCCGAACACTCTAGCGACGCATAGGGGAGAATGAGTTGCGGCTTATTCATATCTAAATAGCGCCACCCATTCATATGTAAATATCACCGTCAAGACTATTTTCAGTGGGGGGGCAGTAGCCCCTATATTAATTTTGGTTGCCCCTATCTGCCTGACATCATGTGTCTGGGTCTCAGCTGCCATGAAACCCGGACACAGCATTCAAAACCCGGACTGTCCGGGTGAATCCTGTACAGGTGGCAACCCTAGTGGGAAGGCTTGTGCTGTGTCTCTCTGGATGGATGGCATGCTGATTGTGAAGCGATATGACCCGTCTGGCGGCGTGGACATCTCTCATGGAAGCAAACGGTGCCACATGGCTATCTGTCTCCTGTGGTTGTTCACCATCTCTTGCCAATGACTTTTTCCTGTAGCAGTCTGATCTGACCCCAGACAGCAGGTACCCAGGGAGTAACTCGGACCCCCACCAGGTTCCTGGCAGAGCATATCCAGCTCTACCCTGACCTCTGTCAGCAGCTCCGATGGCACCTCAAACATGATCATCTCGTTCCAGACGGGATTAATTTTGTGCTTTGCCCTTTTGCTTTGTTTCTTCTTGAGCCTTTGAGACTTATGCCAGAGGCTGACCTTCACGTAGAGATCTACAGGGAGACACAAGTATTGATCTGTGCATTATGCACACATGGTACTCTGCAGATTGAAGTTCTAGCTTTAGTCCTCATTCACACACAACACAAGAGCAAAATTGTATATCGCGTATATACGTGCATTATTTGCAATCCCACAATGCATCATTCGTAATAGAAATGTTAATGAACTGTACGTGCGTATATGCGCGCATACATGCGTGTATGCGCGTAAATACGCTGCCCGGACGCATCTCGGTTCCATTCTGTTTTTGCAGCTATGTGTATTGAGCCATTTATTTGCATATGCTGCATGTGGTACTATATGCGCGGCAGTGTGAATGAGGCCTGTGGCCAGATTATAGACATCAAAGTATTGATATATTCTTAATGAACAGTAAATTACATTTATAACAAGCCCTCACTGATCTCTGTAGCTGCAAGCACTGTGGAGCAATTCATTTTCAATGTACAATCACTGAAGCAACTCATCTCACTGTGCTGCCCCATTGACTCTGCCGCTATGTAGCAGGGTGAGCTGAGCTGCTGAGTCACTGCTAAGAGGGTGAAACAGGGTGAGCTTAGCTGCTACATCACCATTAGGAGGGGTGAGCAGGGGGAGCTGACCTGCTGAGTCACTACCAGGAGGGGAACAGGGGGAGCTAAGCAGCTGAGTCACCACTAGGGGGAGCTGAGCTGCTTTGTTACCACTAGGGGGAGCAGGGGGAGCTGAGCTGCGGAATCACCACTAGGAAGGGGGAGCAGAGTGAACTGAGCTGCTGAGTCACCATTAGGAGGGGGGCAGGGGGAGAAGAGCTTCTGAGTCAACATTAGGAGGGGGGAGCTGAGTTACTGAGTCACAACTAGGAGGGGGGACAAGGTGAGCTGAGCTGCTGAGTCACCACTAGGGGGAGCAAGCTGAGCTGGGCTGCTGAGTCACAACTAGGGGAAAGCAAGGTGAGCTGAGTCACCACTGGGGGGGGAGAGATGAGCTGCTGAGTCACTGCTGGAAGGGGGAGCAGGGATAACTCCAACATGCACCGAGAGCTGCAGCAATATGCGTCAAAATGACACGCAAGCCTTGAAATTCCATCCAAGAAGCCAAGTAGCCCTGCAGAGCTGCCTTGCGTGGAATCAAATGTCACATCAACCAATCCAGGTGTGGGAGCCAAAACTGTTGTTTCAGTAGAACAGGAAAGTTTCCCTTGGTTTGGGTAATTTTTCGAATATTCATTACATTCTCTTATCCCTCCTGCACGGTCCTTACCTTTCCCCACAAGGTTGTTGTTCTGATTGGAATGTATATTCCTGGCTTTGATTAATACCACAATAAGACGATTGGCTGCCGGCAGATAGCTCATAGACAGGAGGACTTCACTGGTGGAGTCCACATCCTGCGGAAATAAAAACCCTGGATAATTAAAGCTGAACTCTGATGGCAAGCAATTAAATATACAATTATAATAGCTGAGCTGCCGAGTCACTGCTGGGAGGGGGAAGTTGGGTGAGCTTAACTACTGAGTCACTTGGGAGGGGAAGTTGGGTGAGCTGAGCTGCCAAGTTATTGCTGGGAGGGGGAAGTTGGGTGAGCTGAGCTGTTGAGTCACTTGGCAGGGGAAGTTGGGTGAGCTGAGCTGTTGAGTCACTGCTGGGAGGGGGAAGTTGGGTGAGCTGAGCTGTTGAGTCACTGCTGGGAGGGGGAAGTTGGGTGAGCTGAGCTGCTGAGTCACTTGGGAGGGGAAGTTGAGTTAGGTGATCTGCTGAGTAATTACTGGGAGGGGGAAGCTGAGCTAGTGAGAGGGGTAAGTTGGATGAGATGAGCTGCTGAGTCACTTGAGAGCGCAAGTTGGGTGAGATGAGCTGCTCACTCACTGCTAGGAGTGGAAAGCTGAGCTGCAGAATCACTGCTTTGAACCTTCAGGGTCACTGCTGGGATGGGGGGGGGGGGGGGGAGGGGGGGAGGGTGAGGTGGGGGGGATGAGGAGACCAGGGGATGGA